TGGGCGTAAGTGAAATTTTCCTTATAAAGTATATATCGAAAGTGATAGAAGCGCCGCCGAGTGGAGCCCCACCACCACCACTGATCACTCACCACCCCACTCTGGTGTGTAGTGTAGTGAAGTGGTGGGATCCTGATTACTCCTACTTAGCCGTTCTTTTTTCTCCTACCAATGTGACCCTCATGTCTCTATCTGTAGGCTCAACCCTCAGGTCCACTGACAAAGCAATACTTGCAGAATACATCCCCCCGCAAACCCCCACCCCCCGACCCTAAAAAAATTACTCAATTATGTAGTTTGTGTTATTTTGGTTTTCTCTCTTTTAATCTAACAGTTTACTCTATTGAGTTTTATTTTGTGTTATGTTATGTTAATTTGAATTGATTAACAGAAGTAATCATGTGAATTTTACGTGATCTTCAACTACACCCTTGAAGGGGTCTTTGAGTCCCTAAAATTATTTTTAATTTGTGTTCAACTTTTGTCATTTTAGACACCCAAGCTTCCAAATCGGAAGATTCTCTAATTTTCTCCTATATAAATCAATTACCATTTATAGCGATTCATGAATAAGGTTGAATGTTTTAACGATGGATAATTCAAATTCGAAAAGGTTCAAAATTTCCTTATTAAAAGGATCCAAATCAACTCTTTTTTACAAAAAAGAAAATTAAAGAAAAGGGGTAGCTTAGTGGAGACAAGGATGAATTATAAACTCGGCATGAATGACCTGAGTTTGACAAAATTGAAAAAAGAATTAATCAAGGTGTGCGTAAGTCGGTCCAAATACCTTGATTGTAATTAAGAAAAAAAGAAAGAGAATTCCAAAATCCTATCACAATACACACTGTAGGTGAAGCCAAATGACGCAACGTAGTGAGATGGAATCGATGCTTCCAAATTTGTGGGGCCAACAACTGTCTCATAAAATGTTTGATGATCTTAGAATTTAGAAATGATTTCCATTTTTGAATTATCAAACGAAACAATCAAATCCTCAAACATTACAAGTGTTCTAACTAAGGTTCAAATCAAATCTGCAACAAATGAGTAAATATATGCAATTTGAAGACATAACCATTAAATTAGAGCGAGTTTAATCAAAATTTACCACTTAATTTGGACACTTGATGCTCACGCGACGCTTCACAGAAACTTAATTTAAAAACTTAAATGTATTGAATAATGACTTTGAAGGTAATATCAAAATCGATACTGTATTCATTTCTTTTTCCATAATATATTGATTGACAGCTTACGTTTCTATTTTTTTCACTAATTTTTTGGTTGTATACACTTGACTTGTGACGTCCATTTCTTTCATTTTCTTTTGGAAGACTTAATACAGTGATGAAAGGACAACAGTTTCCCAATATCAAACAACAATGATCCGTTGGAACAATAACGACCCCAGGTGCCTAAAGATATTTCCACAATGATCCAATTTAACACCATCTACTCCTTTTGTTTCGTGTGGTACGAGCCGACCTAGATATGATTTAACCACATAACATATCGAGAGATTGACACACTTTCTAGATAAGTAAGAGGGGGTGGGGGTGGAGTTATTTAGGCCCTTCATTTGGGGTGAGGGGTTGATACTTAAAAAAGAACTAAAATCGAGTGTTAATTATATTCTTTAGGCGTAGGTAGTGTGAGAGAGAGCTTGTGTTTATTCTACATGGTACAACCCGACCTAGATATGACTTAACCATGTAACATAGTGGGAGTTCGAACTCCTTTCTGGGATCATTGGGGTTGAAAATTGAGTCATGTGGGGCACGTAGTTTTGGGCAACGTAATGAACTTAAAAAAAAAAAAAGATCAAACTCAAGTGTCAATCATATTCCTTAGGTGTAGTTGGAATGAGAGAAGTGTTTATTCCGTATTACAATTGGATATTTATTTGATTTAACCATTTATATATAATCTATAATATAAATCACGACATTCGACGATCTCAAATAAACTTATACAATGACCACCAACATTTCTCTCAAAACTATTCACATTGTACTGTACCTTCAGACACGAGTTACTTCTAGTATATATATATATATATATAGAGAGAGAGAGAGAGAGATTGTCATCCTTAAAGTTTTAGTGTTTGTTAGCCATAAGAATTTTTAAACCTTCCTATGTAGATATGAAGTGATTTTCTTTTGAAATCCACTGTTTGGGATGATTCAAGTGTCATTTCAAAAGCACCTTTTTTTGCCAAACAAATATTTTATTTTCCTCAAAAGTGTTAGGAAAATAAGGAAAGAACTCATGAACGACTAACAGAAGAATACGCATCTGTTTAGGATTAATTCATTTAAGAATATCCTTCTCCTGAATTAGTTTATCAATGGAACTCGACTCACAATTTAAGCTAAATTATGAACAAAATTAGCTACCCTTTGATAATAATTGTTAGTATTTAACAAAGTGATATGTATGTATTTTTTTACTTATATAATAAACTCTATATATATATGTATACGGTGTAAAAGCTTAAATGAAGGGATCAAACCCGAATAAATGCTACAAAAGTAGTAGAAAAAGAAAGAAAAAAAAAACTTAAAATCGTTATCAAACGATACTTCAGTTATTTAATGTGTACGTATCTTAGAACTTACCTTCGTGGTTGCATTAAATGAACCAAGACTTGAATAAAATGAGAGAGTCGGTGGAAGGATAGGAATTATTTTCATGTGGACACTTTTTATTATGGGTTAGAATCTGAATTGCCAAAGAGGTGCAAGGTTAAAAGTGTGTGGCTAATTTTAATTTCTTATATCTTTTGGGAAAATGTGGGAAGGGATTGAGTATATATGTACATGCTTGTGCTTTCCTTTTTCTTTTTTATGCTGCAAGTTGCAACTTATTATCAGAAATAGGAAAAAGGAATTTATATATTATTTCCTTTTCTTTTCTTTTTTTTGCTTTATTTGCTTTGGCCTAATGGTAATTTGAGTACCAAGATGAAAAAAAGAAGAAAGAAACAAGTTTTTATACAATTTTTTGGAATCAATAATAATTTTTGAGATTTTTTTTACGAGCAAATTTAAAATTGTTAGGATCGATCCTAAACCCCCACAAAGAATTGTAACTTTACCTCAATTAATTGTAACCTAAACCCTAACTATACCTTAAAAACTTGTATCTTAACTCACAAAAATTATAAATTTTGGTACAATATCTCTCTCGGTACTGAATCAAATCCATCATTAAAGCTCAACCCTCTTATTTTTAGATGACGAATAACCTCACCAAGATACAGAATAAACCTTTGATACCTGTTGTCATCCTCAAACCCCAAAACTTGGTGCTTCAATAAGTTGTAGAGGAACTATTAAAATAAGTAAACTTTGAAAATACATGTCACCAACCAATTTTTACATGTTCTAATTAATTTGTATTGCATGCTTGCAAAGTATAATAAGCGGGTTGGTGAGTGAATATTTTAATTTATCATTGTGCCTTCTTTACTTGAATGTGAATTAATGGCAGAAGGTGGTCGAGTACTTTTAACTTGTACAAGGCTCAAGGCATTTTTAATAGTGCCCTGTTTTCTGGTGGAGTCAACTAGCAATTGTTTTTTTCAACAATGTTAGGTATTTTTTTTTTTCAGAAGGTAAAATGAATTAAAAAAAATCAGAAATACAAGGATAATCACCCACAATTTGTACAATGAAGTCGTGTCCAAAAAGTCGAGGCTCCAAAACACAAATCTATAAGAGATATTCTGAGTAAAAGTATCTTCCACATATATGTTGACAAAAGTAAATATTGAAAATAGAAACAGACAACTATAATAAAATAGTAATGTTACTTAGATTTAATTTATTGACTAATTATTTATAACTATTAAATTGATAGTGAATTTTAATATTTCTCGACAACTACAATCAACTTAATGATTGTGAATATGTGATAAGTTGTGTCAATAAATTATTTTTAAAAAACGTTTAGATCCATTTCGTCAAATAGTGACATGAGCAACATTATTCTTCAGAAATTATTCAATTTAAATCACTCATCATTTAATCAGTATGTCCCACCCATTGATCCCACTTTCTAGGTCCCACCATTAATGGTGGGGGATTTAAATTTGGAAAATGGGGAAGTTCTCAATGGTGATGATCCATAGGAGAGTAAATTGAGTCCGGATTCTCTATTAAGTGTTTTTGTTTAAAATAATATCGTTTTATATACAAAATAACATTATTTTATGGATAAAATAATTTTTTTTTAAGAACAACTCAACCCCTATACAACATTGAATGTGATCTCGAGCACATTATCCTCACCTATCGTTTAACTAAAAAATAATTTTATTTAGACTTAAAAATTTAATTTAATTTATTAATTTCATAGTGATTGTTAAATTAATACTAATTTTTTCAATGTTTGATTTAATTCAATGATCCTAATGAATTAGGTCTAAATAGGATAGTTATTAATTAAAACGAAGTAGTGAAGTTTACACGGTCAAGATTACTGTTTAATCAGAGGGTGAAAATCTCACAAGGATTCAAAGGAGGCTGTGTTTACATAAAGAGCTCTAGTGTTTTTGGATTGAACACCCTCCCCTGTATGGTGGTCCGTGGTCTCTCTCTCTCTCTCTCTCTCTCCTTTTTGTGTCTAAGCCGTACAGAAAATCTGGCAGTTCTGTAACCAGCAGAAGACATTCCCTTCCCACCATGAACATTCTCATGTCCCCTTCTCTCTCTAAATTTCAAATCTTTGGTTTTTGGGTCTCCTTATGTTGGTTGTTCTCTTGATTTCTCTCTCTCTCAATCAACCTAAAATCTGAGCCTTTTTAAGTCTCTCTTTATTTGGTTGATTATCTCGAAATTTGAAAATTGCAGAGGTCTTCAATGTGAAAATTTTTAAAGCTCACTTTGACCTCAGAGATCTTGATTAATTCCATCGTCATTAGTTTCTGTTCTTGATTGCATCTCTCTTTTTACTTGTTATCACCTTCTCTTTGTTCTGCATTTTCATTGCATATTCTTGTTTTTTTAATAGGAATAGCATTGTTTTCTGAGTCTCAGTTCAATCTTTCTTCCCCCCTCCCCTCTCTTCTCTCAAATATTCATGGAAAATCTATTACGGGGAAGTTCAATGCCCAAAAGCAGAGTGCAGATTGCGATATGGACGATTGAGCTCCTCCTTATGTTCGCCGGAATCATCTCCACCTTCCTTTTAGTCAAGGCGGCGGTGATTCCATACACGGCGGCGATGGTGGTGTCTACTCTTCCGAGTCTCTGGGTCTCATTCAGGACCTGGTTGTCTCCGCCATACATATACATCATCCTTAATTTCATCATCATCTTCATTGCTGCTTCCTCTACTTTCCACCACCGGAATCGCCATAGCCCCCTGCTTGACGTAGACGATGATTATAATTCACAGGGTATTCCACCACCACCAAAGCAGAACAACGAAATCCACGACCGGAAAGCACCAAACACCACCACCACCACCACCACAAGTTTCTCAGAGAAAGCTGATCTTACCCACCAAACCTGGCGCGATATGCAAGACCAGAACTGGGTTGAACCACCACCACCACCACGGCGAATCAACCAAACCCAGCACCGTGAAGCACCAAACACTTCCACCACCAACCCAAATAAACATACCCACCAAAACTGGTCGCGCAATATAAAAGACCAGAACTGCGTTGAAAAAGCCACTAACTCTCCACGGGAGAAAACCCAGCAGTCGTCATTAACAAAGAGGCCGGAGAATGGCTCGAAAAATGCCGCCGGAGAGATTAACGAGCTGAAAATGAGAGAGGATAATGATGATGATGATACATTGGAGGCAACGTGGAAGGCAATATCAGAGGGAGGAGGCAAGCCAAAGACTAAGAAACTCAACAAGAGTGAGACATGGGTTACGCCGCCGAGTGTGGAGGTGGCGGGCGGCTTTGAGTCAGAGCTATCGCCGCCGGTGGCGTCAGCATGGAGGGAGCTGAGGAAGTCGGAGACGTTCAATGATGCGGTGTCGGCGAAGCGAAGAGGGGGGCTGAGGAGGGAAGCTTCGATGAGTCACGAGGAGTTGAATCGACGATTTGAAGCGTTCATAATGAAGTTCAACCATGAAATGAGGTTACAGAGACAAGAGTCTGATCAGCGTTACTTAGAAATGATTAATCGGGGAGTTTAATTTTTATTAGTATAATCTAATGATATTAGTATAGTTTGTTAAAAAATAAAGTTTAATTTCTATTAGTATAATCTAATAATATTAGTATAGTTTGTTAAAAAATATATGTATATATAAAGAGGAAAATTTTTACAATGATAATTTTTTGGCGTATTTTCAAATTGCGGTGATATCACAGAAAGATTATCTTCATATCATCAAATGGTTGGCGATTGGATTGAGAATCGTCAATTTAATTTTAGTATTATTTAGTTGATTTAATCTATTACGATTATTAGATTTATAAATTCAAACTAATGTTGAGCCCAACTTCAATCTAATACTAGTGTTTGATTAGTGAGAAAATTAAACTAGGACGTCTAATAAGTATATTGAGCTATTTTAAACAAGGATGATCTGTAAAATTAGAAGTCTTTAATTCGAATTTTGATAATTTTTTAAGTTTAGGTGATGAGATATTATTTCTCGTAGTTCGAATGATATGTCTTTGATCAAACTAAAAAAAGAATTAATCGCCTGCTAAAGTCATGTAATAAGACCCGGTCTATGAAATTTTTTTAAACGAGTTAAATTAAAATTAATTAATATTCGACACGAAGTTAAAACGATACGACGTAAATACAACTCGTGAGGACACGATTGTCGCCTTTACTATGTACCAAGTCCTCCGTCACTTTTGGGCTTGAAAGCATCATTCCAAACAACCTTAGCCCTTAGAGTTCAGAACTCTTCCAAATGGAAGCCCTCAAGTTTATCCAATACGTTCTGTGGTAGCTCAAGTGGGTAGCCCAAAATGCATGCATACTACTGATCGAGCACTGAGATTACCAGTTGTAGACTTCCTTCGTAGGATAGTTACTTAATTGATCAAGACTTTACTTTGGTTTCAACTTTTTCAATGCAAGGTTGGGCCTTGAAGGTTGATAGATATCAATGGGACTCCAATGTACTTGATAGCAAAGGCGGAGCCAGTACTAGCCCAGGAGCGGCATCGGCCCACTTTGATTTTTATTTTCACCTATATATTATATATATTTATATAATAAAATAGTTTATAATTTAAATCTTAAAAGATAAATAAAATAATTTTTATTATTCACGGTTAAAATTATTTTAAATTTAATCTAACGGTTAATATTAATACCATAAATTTAATAGAAAAAATAGGTCTCTAAGGATGTGTTTGAAGTGATTTTTTAAAAGTATTTTTATAAATTATTTATCGTAAATACTTTTAAAAAAAAAGTTTTTGAAACCGCTCCACTACTACCTCTGCCACCACCACCATCATTACCACCACCACCACTTTCACCATTGCTGTCGCCACTATTACTGCCACTACGGTCATTGCCACCCACCATAACCATCATCGTCTTCTATCACCACCACTGCCGTCCACCACCTCTTACCCCCACTACAACTGATACTTAAATTTATTTATCTTTCCTCTATATTTGTGATTTAATTTTGAATATGAATACAAATATGTTTATTGTTTACTATTTTTTATTATTCCGTGCCTTCAGGCACATACAATAACTAGTTTATATAATAAAGTACAATACAATTTAAATTTAAAAAAAATAAACAAAATGACTGTTATTTTTCGCGGTTGAGATCTTTAAATTTTATTCTAAAATTAATTTGACAGCTAATATTAACACTCAAAATTTAATAGAAAAAATAGGTTCCTAAAGATGTATTTGAAGTGACTTTTTAAAAGTGTTTTTAATATTTATAATTTCTTATAACTATTTTAAAAAAAAGTAATATTTGAAACCGCTCCACCATCACCGTTCCCACCACCCCCACTCTCACTGCCCCACCACCACCACAACTACCCCTACCACCGCCATGCAGGGATTAGTGTATTTATAATAAATAAATTTCGTATTACTTAACTCAAAAAAATTATCAAAATTCGAATTCCAGACGTTTGAATTTATTGTCCGTCCATATTATTTAGATTAAAATTTTGAGAGCTCTTCAATCAAACCCACAAAATTAATCAGCCTGAATTGTTAAGTGACAGAAAAAATTCCATATGCTGTCTTCAAGTTCATGCTTGCTTGTGGTGTTCCAACAATTGATTGGTCCAATTCACCATTGTGCTGATGTGGACCAATGAGAGCCGAGGGGGATCATACGACATGACACTATTGTAAGGATGGTAGAATTGGCCAATCCTGAAGAAATTTTGGGATTAAATTTGGAGTATAAATGACATGACAGTGGATTTGAGCTTCTTTATTAGTGCCAGGTCTTTGGACCCTAATAAAAACTCCAAATAATATGCTGTCATGTCATTTAAACTCTAAATTTAATTCTAAAATTTGATCAATGTAACATTACTGTTAACCTATAACTAAAATCACAACGTACATTGAGTTGAGTGTCAACTTGACTTGAGAACACCTGGGCTCCATCTTTGGTGCTCAAACTCATTTTCATGGCTAACCATAAGGTCATTCTAGGTATGACCTGCCCATATGCAGTTAGAGTCCATTTGACAATATCTTCTTGGTCTAGTCAGGTAATTAAGGTGGCATAGAGTTGAAAATTTCCTCTATGACCTCCATTACCTTTTAGGCTTGAAAACATCCTTCCAAGCAACCTTAGCCCTATTATATCTATGTTCAATGCCCTTCCAAATGAAAGCCCTCAAAATTTGTTCGAGTTTATCCAATACTTTCTATGGTACACTCAAGTGGATAGCCCAACAAAAAATACATGCATACTGAGCAGTAAGATTATCAATTGTGGACTTTACTTTGGTTTCAACTTTTTCAATGAGGCTCATGTAGTGTTGGGCTTTTAATAAGCTTGGTAGATACCCGTGGCACTCCAAGGTACTAGATAGCAAGGGCGGAGCCCGTACTAGCTCAGGAGGGGTATTGGCCCACCATGATTTTTAGTATCACCTATATGTTATGCATATTTTTTAATATAACTTCAGTGGTGCCCACCCATAACCTAAACCTATATGAGAAAGAACTATTGTCTCTCATCATCTTATCAACACCCTTGGGGCTCACCACACAAACATCACTTCGGTACATAGTGGCGAGGAGAAATGAGAAACACAGGAAGAAGAACAAGTAACAATAGTGACTCTAACACTCTACTTCCAAAACATGAAAACTCGTCAGGACCATTATAATTTCATTTATTATAAGAGCTTGTAATTAGTCTTTTTATGTTATTTTTCGATTATGTATAGTATGTTTATCAATTTTTGGCCTTATATTTAGTAGACTTTTGAATATCGAATATGATGTAATTAAACATAAATGTATCATATTACTTTTATCCACTGCGAGAGAAAAAATTTAAAATTTGTTAAAGTATTTAGTTCCCACCCAAAAATAATTTTTTAGCTTTGCCCCTGCTTCATAGGTAAATCTCCAGCAGGGAATCCAAGTGTGTCCTTTATTTGTGCTTCCATCCCTTCTTCGACAGCACATGATAGGAACTCCATGGCACTAGGGAAGTATCCAGCCAGCTCTCATTCACCAATGTTAAAAACCATCTGGGCAATGAAAAGGGTATTTGCCTCAACAAATGATTTTTTGTATCAGTAATTACACATGCACTTTTTTTTTTATATCCTTTTAGTGCACCTACCCTCTTCATATTTGTCGGTAGAACAAGGATCTAGATTCTCTTCGTATGTTGACACGTGAAAAGTTGATCTCATCTTCTCTTCTGTTCACAAATTTCATGTCAATTTTATATCGAGTGGGCTGATTTATTTCATTCTTAAAATCAAGTTACACCATTTATTATTTTGAGACTTACTTGAATTCATGATGATCCACTAAGGAGAATTTGTTTTAAAAAAAATGTATGCAATAGTATATCACTCTCTTACCCCACATAAAATTGTTATAGTAGGACAAAAATATTACACACTTTTGGACCCAAAAAATGTTTGTAGTGATCTTCAAAATTTTCAACCTTAAACCAATTATCCTTTTAGTGCATCTACCCTCTTCATACACCTTGGTTGAGGTTCACATGCAAAGACTATTGAGATGTGTATATGTTATTATACTTATTGTGATTCAGAAATTGAATGAGTAATACAACAAATCACAATTAACAAGTCTATCGAGATGATTTTCTAATTTCATCGAAAATATTTATGGTTTTGTTAAATGTTATCAGAATCAGATCAGATATCAAACTGGTAAAGGGATTGGATCAATGATTCACTAGTTCAATCGTTCGGTCAACTAGTTGGACCCGTCGTATAATAAAAAATAAAAAAATTATAAAATATAATAATTTAACTAAAAATAATATATTCATAAAATTCAAAGAATAAAGAACATAAATGTGTGATTGAGAAAGAGAGAGAGAGAAAGTAGTAAAGGACAATCAATACCACGGAATAGAAAGGAAAGAGCTTTTATTTTAAGAATGTGAAAGGACCATTTGTCTTAGGGAAATGCTATTTGGACCTTATTTGGGGATTTTATCTAAGGACTTAATGATGTAGCTTCAATTTAACTATTGGATTAGTTGTGAGTTCCAATATTAGATAGAGTCCACAACCAATCCAATGATTGTATATCATTAGGTCCCGAAATAAAGTCCCTCACATTTCAGAGAGAGAGAAAGAGGACTTAACAAAGAGAAATGAAAGATGTCATCGTAGTTTGGAGAAGGAATTCGTTACAAGATTTCTGACGTCGCCTTGCCTGGATCTTCTTGTTATTGTCTACTGAGAGTTGTGCTGGGAGAAGGAAGGCTTGAACTTTAGAGGCTGGAGTAAAGAGCCAAAAGAGTGAGACCTCAATCGTCCGATTTTTAGAACCTGTCCAGTTCACCGGTTTTCATAAAAAATCAGTCGGTTTAACAGTTGAAAGACGATTCCTATACCTATGCAGTCCGACTCAAGAACTGGACTGTTTTAGGTCCCGGTTCATAGTCCAACTGGTCCGGTCTGGCTCTGATAACACTAGTTCTGTTATCTACACTCTTATCATAATTTGGATCATATGTATAATTTAGTTTAGCGTAATTTTGCTTTGAATGTATTTACCAACCTTAGTTGCGCTCAGAAACTATAAAAT